AAAGTGAAATTGCTGGACCAAATGTTAAACAGAATACTATTTTCCAGGTGGCTGGAGTACTTTACATTCCCACCAAGAAGGTGAGGAGATTCTAATTCCTTCATATTCTAGGCAACACCTTTAACTTCCTGTGTTTTAAAACATAATAATCATCCTAACAGGTATGAGGCAACTTCTCACAGTGGCTTAAATTTGCATTTTTCTAAAGATTAGTAATATTGCTAATCTTTTCCTTTTATTGCACCTTTTCCTATAACATTTGGCACAAAATGTTTTCAAGTAACAGTACTCTTTACTTTGAGAAGATGACAATTTCTCACAAATGATAACATGAAGAGAAATCCTGGTAAATGCTGTAAAGTACAGAGTTATGAAACACTACCTAAAGTTCAAAATACTAAACTACCAAAAGTTAAAAATACTGAAATATTACCATTCTGCTATAGTTTCCCAGTTAGTCAAGGACATTACTTTGAAAAGTACTAATATTGGTTAGTCTTTCATCCTTTGCTTTAATTATTGAATTACATTTTTTAATCACCATGTATTCTCAAACAGCTATAAGCTTCTGTTTTTCAAAGATTATATTACAAGTTATCAATGAAACGTATATCCTTTCTCTCTTATGAGATGAGAGCAAGAAATGAATATGCTATCCTGAAGAGGATGAAGAGAGAGTGAATGATTCCTCTTGTCAAGGTCTCTGTGGTTTTTGTACTGCTATAGTTATTGGCATTTATTCAGAGTATTTATGAGTAGGTATTCTGCATTAGGCACTGCAAGCTCAAAGCAAAAAATGAGATAGTCCTTGATCTACAAAAACTCACAGCCAAGAAGTAATCAAGTTTCGCATGTGTTGATACTGAGCAATTTGCCCAACATCTTGTGGGAGGATAGAGAAAGAATGAAGTGAAACACAGAACTTGGAATGGAAGGAGTTGTTCCATTTTTAATTGATCATTTTGTTCTACCTACTTCAATTTCAATACATTGCTTGAATGATTCACGTTGCAAAAAATCTAAATGCCTCACTGTTTATTGCTTGAATTTAGGACAAATACTAACAAATGGTGATGCTTAACTACCCGGTTTTACAATCATCATCTTCCAAGATTATTTTCTATATAATTTATTTTCACTAAATTTGTACTTCTTTGTTACACTGAAGGAGAAAAATTTATAGTCCATAAAATTGTTTCATATCTTGTAAAAGTTTTAAGTTATATTCATTTTTATCTCATTGCTGTGGCAAAACTTTCCTTGGAAACTTACATCTTCACATTCAGTGAGTCTGAAGACATGGATGAGCAGTGGCAGGATGAAGAGGGACTCTCCTTCATATTGGGGTTGTGACTTGAGTGTTGCAAATTAGTTGTGAGTGTGATTTTGCTTCTTCAGGGATTTGTGCTTCTTCAGGATTTCAGTTAAGGAAGATCCTGGGTGAAAGGTGTTTTTCAGGTTCCGATGGCATTTGAATGGAATTAATATAAAGTAATTTCTGATTTGATATTGTCTCATGAGATTATGAAAAAAATTCTGTCATTGTGCCTCTGAGCATACTGAAGTTCGAGGAATTTCATACTGGAATTCAAGTTATTTTGTCAGGGATATATAATTAGAATAATAAACTGCAACATAGCCAGACACACAAATAAGTCTTCCACGTAGTGTAGATGAGTTAGTTACAAGGAATGAGAGAAATGTAGCCTCTTTGTGAGACTTATTGAAAGTTGATGATTTTAAAAATATATATGTATTAAGAATTTTTCATGAGTTTAATTTATGCATGTGAAGTTTGTTTGTTACTATACTAAGTATGTTCCATAGATGCAGTTTTCTTTCAACTGAAGGACTTACGTAAATTGAAATGCATGCATAGACATAGTAGAGAAGGCATTCAGAGGTTAAAATTGCAGGCAGAACTAACATAAAAACAAGGAAAAGTTTTCCTTTTCTTGCTTTCTTAGTTTCATTTTCTCTCTCTTGTCTTCACACATCTAGTTATAAAGACAAGTATGTTCTAATTTTCTTGCTTTCTTAAATCAAAATTGTTGGGTTCATCGCTTAATTAAGGCTATTCCTTCTTTTAGCAATTTGAATTCTAAGGGAAATGGGGCAGGAGAGGAAGCCAAATGTTTGAGTCCACCAGTTCTACTCTTTTATTTTTATTGAAAAATTTATATTTTAAAAATGGTCTCCTTGGTTGATGTCAGAAATATGTATCACTTTATGAGAACTGGGATCAACAACCACTTTAATTGAAACTTTTATATGGCTATGAATTTGTCTGTCTCTCTGTCTGTCTGTTTGTTCAAGACTTTATTTTTCTAAACCAGTTTTAGTTTACCAAGGCTGATCTTGTTTTAATAAATAAACAATTACAGAAAGTACTGACTGCCATTTGGCAGTTATATGCCATAAGTAAATCCTCCCCTTTAGCCTTGGCAATAGTTCTATAAAATAGGTACTGTTGTTAATCCTACAAGTTTTCACAGCTTCGACACAGAACTAAAGTTATCCTGGGACTTTTTGCTTCCAGAGTCTATAGTATTATTAATAATTGGCCGATGCTTCTTTCATTCCATTAGGATAGAAGTCACAAACAGGCATCATGTAGCCCTTTTAGTATTACCACCCTAAGCCAGAGGCTATGAGATATTAGAGTTAGCAGCCCTCCACTACTCTTCCGGCATCCAGGGCCAACAGCTACTGGAAGCCCTCAGGAACCTTTTCTGTGACCAGAGACCAGTCTGTGGCAACTCTCCTTTGCTGTCCATCATCCTCTGGCTGCTAGCCACCTTTGGTGTTGTCAGCCCTGGCTGCTGGCCCCTCTCAGCTCCAGTGGCCTTTGGTGTTACCAGCTTTTAGAGTTTTCAGCTCAGTCTGCCTTGCTTAAGATGTCATGGATGGGCCAAAATATGTCACCTAAGAGTAGCTTTATTTGGACTTATATTACAGCATAAGTGGGAACAGTACACCAGTGACCCTCTAATGGTCTGAGGAAAGTTACTTGTCTAGGAAAAATGACAGGATTGGGTATGATCAGTGTGAGACTTTCTGTTTAGTCATGGGCAAGGGAACCTCCTCATGGACACAGCAGGGCACAGTCACCCAGAGGCTTGGAGAGTGGAGTCCTCGGGAATGATCATGCATGCAGGATGCTGCCTATAGCCAAAGCAGTGTCTCTTGGAGTGGCCATGAGCATCAGATGTAGCTGTGGCCCACATTTGGGACAGCAACAGAAGAAAGAAAAACAAAATAAAAAATATCTCTTGAGGAATGGTGGGCACTTATCTCTGTTCAACTATTACTGTTCTGTGAAGCTTGTCCCCCAGGGCAAGAGCACAGTGCTTTCCAGAGTCCAGTTCTCTCTGGATGGTTGATTGGATGAAGGAATTGAATAGCATTCCTTATTTAATGCGGTTAGAGTAAGAAATGAAAAAACAATCATTTTCACATGAGAAGAATAAACACAATCCTAAAATGTTAATTTGCTAATTACTCTTCCTCCTGGAGGATATAATCTGGTACTTAAGCTTATATACCTCATATGCTATACAGATATTTCAACCTTCTTATATTATTAACTTTAACCTCCTTGACATTTAGGTAAGATTAACATGGAAAAATGAAATATTTTCCATAATCTTTTCTATATAATATGATGAACTTGGTAAAACAGGGTGAGTTAGCTGCTTTTGTTTAAAAAATGTTATTCTATTTCGACTGACAGATGTTAAGATTTTAGTGTTAGCATTAATTTGTTTTCTTTTAATTATACAATTACTACATTCATTTTCCTTAGTGAAATGGAAAAACATCCCAATTGCCAAATAATGACGGTATGTTTTCAGGGGGCTTAATGTGTAGTCTCATTAGGTTTCTGTTTCTCAGCTGACAAAAGTTTATGAAGTCAGTATTTGTTTATCTTGAGAGAATTTTGCTTGTACATTTTAAAGATAAAATTACCATTTTCTTTAAGCAATTTGCGCCAATATTTGTCCTTCATTATTAGAGAAACAAAAGTTTTTCACTTTGCCATCTTAGGCAGTTCCAGTGGGTTTCATCTGTTCTTCCAAAAACACTAATAGGATACTGTACCTGCTGCATGTTTTTACAAAAAATATTTTTTGTTCTTCATCTTTGAAAGGTATGTTTATCTAGAAGTCTATGAATCAATATGATATGTATTTTATATTTTTAAAAATATTGATTTGAACTTTAATGCTAAGCATCCTCATATGGTACTTTTGTTGTGTGTTTGTTTTAAAATTTAAGCAAATAAAAACAGTGGCTTGTAATGCTAACGATGTTTCTAAAAAGACACAGATGAGCTTTATCTCCCCTGTGGTAAATACTGCTCTATCTTCTCTATCCACATGAAACATTACATTAAAATATTAACAGAACACCAGGATTCTCTTAGATTCTTCTCTAGTTGGCTATATCTTCAAGAGAAAAATGCAGAGAAGAAACAACTTTGATATAGATATTGCTATTGATATGCAGAGAATTGATAATAACAAAAAACTAAATTTTGAGTTTTATATTTACAGTGGCTTTGAAATACATTTTCTTCCACTTTGGTTTCACAACTTACCCACTGATATGCACCAACTCCAAGACACAAACATTCAGAGCAGGGAAAAAAATCCACCCCTCACCCCACATTAGCAGTCATATATTAAACTTGGGAGTTCTGACCACAGGGTATGTTACCTAAGTTCCACCATGCCTTCCCTGATTAGATGCCATGAAGTGTGGAAAATAAAAATGGAGCAAGAAATTAGAAGACATTCCAATCTTTCTCATCACGTTATGATTTAAGTTATAAAATATTTAAATCTTAGATCATCGAATTTTGCTCTTGAAGGAGTTTTGCTTGAATGTGACAAGAGGAGCTAACCTAGAGGAATTTATTACATTGATCATGCGATGGAAACCACAGAGAAGCAAACTACACCTTGTCTCACCATATGAATTTTTTACTCTGTTTGCAGCTGCAAACATTTTTTGAGACATTCCTGAGGGCCAGCTCACCTCTGCAGGCCTTGGATGCTATGAAGGAAGCAATCAGCAAACTCCTGCTGGCGGCTGAAGTCTTCAGTGAAACATCCACTCTGGGACCAAAGACCTCTCATAGGTAAGGCCAAATTTTATTTTAAAAATAAAGAAACCTATCTTCTAAAATTTGTTAGTGAGACTGTATCTTAGTTTTAAGTCCTTGTAAAAGTTTATGTCACCATTATACAAATATGATCTGTTAAACATATATGACCCAGTTTATAGATCCTAAAACTTCAGAGTATGCTACACTTTTGTTATTATCCAAATGATGATGACAAGAACTATCACACAAAACTTTAAATTAATTTTTAAATTGCGGTTTCTTTCCCAGTTAAGCTATTTCTGTCATATGTGCTTAGTGTGACTTGATGTGATTTTGCCTATACAGAACAAATTTTGTTCTCAATTCTCAGTCACTTTCTTCATTGAAGAATAATACCCAATAACCACAGTTTAAAGGAGGAGAAGCTTATTTTGGTTTGTAGTTACAGTGCATGGTCCTTTAAGTAGGGGACTCCGAGGCAGAAATGGATGGCGGAAGGGCTGCGTAAGGCAAGAGCTGCTTACAGCATGGTGGTCAGGAAGCAGAGGGTGAAGGAAAGCAGCAAAGAGGAGGCACACCCTTCAGGCCACAGCCCGTGCCCACTTCCAACCAGGCTTGGGCTCCTGAGCACAAGTCAGCGATAGCACCCTCAGGATCAAATCATCTTCCAAACACCTGAGGCTTTGGGGGCCATTCTAAGTCTAAACTATTGTATCAGTTATTCCAGTGATTTCAAAACTGTGGAGAAGAAAAGAAAAATTTTTATTAACAAAGTTCAATAAATTCTTTCCTCAAGTCTGAGCTTATTTGGCAGCTAATTATCTTTATCCATCCAGTGTGTAAACAAAACCCAGAGAGGGCTATATTATTACATGCATCGTTATACTTTATATGTGAATGAGTGCCTACTATGTAGAGGTCTTCCCCATTTTGAGGTTTTCATGGAATAACTTTATCATTTAATTTAATATGCTATGAATAACTTAGATATTTTTGTATTTTCTGTAAGAAAAAAACAGGCTCCAAATCAAAAAATGAATTGTCATTTTCAGTTATCCAAGCTACTAGTGCTTTTAATTGGAACAGATATTGAAACTTAACTACAGCAACTATTAACAATATAATACCAAATAATAGAGTACGTCTGGCAAAGAGACTATATTTTCATGTTACCTTATGCTTTTATTTCAGATGTAGATTATGCTTTCAGCTTTTAACTTTTGATATCGGTTATGGCAGTTTCAGGTATCCAGTAGTGCTTCAGGTGAGTATGCCAATGGCTTCGTGTGTGTGTGTGTGTGTGTGTGTGTGTGTGTGTGTGTGTGTGTATTTTCATTCATGGTAACCAATGGATAAATAGCAACTTGCATTAAAGTCACTGCAGGCTTTGGCACATATTGGTTGAAGGCCAGCACGTGGGGAATTTATGTGTTCCAATCTCCACTGGAATAAAAAAGGATTTTTCTGTGGTTCCCTACTGCTTACAAAGAAAAGACTAGTGGGTGTTAATGGAAAAAAGCAAGACATACAGATAGTAGAAAGTAGTGGATTAACCAGATTCTATTACATGTGATATTATGGGAATCATAACTGTTATGTTTTATGTACAGAGATTATGTTTAAAATTGGTATATATTTGAATTTTAAAAGCCATGGGAATTTTGAAATACATTTTTTCTGGTATATACATGTATAAATTGAATATTGTTTTGTACACTTTGATTCTTTTCAAATTTCTGCAATTAAGTGAACATTTTAGATAATCTCCCTCAACATAGCCATCAAAATGTCAAGAAGATAAAAAAGATTCATTTAAATAGTCTATAGAAAGCTGTTTCTTGGGTCACGAGATGAGAAGAAGAGAAGAACAAATTAAACTTGCAAATAATGAAAATTCAACTCCACATAGCATTTATTTGTTTGCCAACTATAATACGGAGCAGTCAATTACAGATATATGGTTAAATAGCTTTAAGATTTATCTATAAAAGTTTAAAGCTTTATAAAATGACATATTTTAATAGCCATTCATTATTTTGCACACATATCTAATAGTTGGTATTATGCTTTTTAAGTGTTTGGTTCAGAAAAAATGTTACATATTTTCTTTCATGAGCCCAGATTCTTCAACTATAAAGGGTTTCAAGATAAGCCAATGTGGTTTTATAGTACTTAATTAATTTCCTTATGTATTAAAGAATTGTATTTTAAAAGAACATCACTAACATTTATAAAATTGCTGACTTCCTAAAAGACCACTAGATGTCAGTTCTGATCTACAATCCGACAGGAAATAAATTAATGTCTTACAAGGCTACTGTAAAAGTTAATGAAAAATATTTGTTGTGCTTTTACCCTTTCAAAGGTGCATGAGCATTTAAACTTTCAAGATGATGATAATATGGATTTTGAGGACCAAAATACAGAAGAATTCCTTTTAAAAGACACTTTTGATTTTCTCTTTTCCAATGAATCTTCACTGTTTGTATTTTCGGAGATATTTCAGAGACTTTATAAATCAGGTGTATTTAAGGTAAGTGTGTATTTGTGCACTGATTAATATTTTTTAAGTCATTCTTCAGGTGCTATTTTTTCAAGTTAAGCAATTTGAAAATTCATTTAAAATTAATTTGTATGTTACATTACATCTCTTAAATTTTTCTGCGCTAAAGTCAAACATTATTTTTAGACTAAATGAATGTACAAGTCAATGATTGTGAAGAAATTATGGGCTAAAAATGAAGTAAAGCTATTTATAATTCCTAAGGAATGTTTATGAATATTATGATAAACATGTATATTATGGAATATGTTTTTAAAAATGTTAGAATTTTTTGGAGGTAGTCTAGAAGTCTTTTGGAGCAGGGAGTGTCCCAAACTGATATCAGGGGATTTAAATTATAACATTAATCTTTTAAAGCCTGCACACCTGTTAAGTTGTTTGGCTAGATGCCAATGATGAGGTGTAGAGATTCAGAGTAGAACTGGCTAATTGTTATGGCATGTTAACACAAGCATCATTGATACATAGAAAACCTATACATTACGAAACTGAATGTTGCTCTTCACATATTTTTCTGTTTTGAAACCTGTATTTGGGAAATCTGGAACAGTAGAATATGAGAGGTTTCATAAAAATTTCTGTTATGTCTCTTGCAAATAGCAGCAGTCTGGCTCTGGGGGGTGGATTATGGAAATAAAAGGACATCCAATAGTAGGTGCAAGGCAGGTATCTGCTTACCACCGTCTGTGAAACTCCAAAGTAGTGCTGGCCCATACTTGAGGTTTGGGGTGAATGCTCCTTTGAAGCCCTCACTCCCAGTGCCTGGAAGGCCATGGAAGGTTCTTCCTGAATTCTCAGGCTGCTTGCCATGCCCATTCTGCCTTCTGTGCTCACCCCCAAATTCACCACCAAAGCATCCTTGAGTTGTTTCACCCCAGTCTGGCTTGTCAGATACGAAGTTCCCTTATATGCAAATGTTGTTTTGACAAGTTCAAGTCACTATGCCTCATGTAACACTCATTAGGATAGCTGTTCATGAAGGTTAAAATTTGCTTTTATGAAGGAGGAGGCCATTGTGGTAAAAATGATTTGGTTTTTGAGCAATTTCTTGTTTTTTTCCTTACTCTAGGGTGAAAAGTATCCAAAGGAACTCAATCAGTGTGTATCATTAGATGAAGTTGATTCAATTAGGACTTTTATAAAGGAACTTGGGAGTCTGGGACAATTCCAACTGGTAAAACATAAGTGACTTGATTCGCATTGAGTACTGAGTAATGGTAGATCAGCCGTAAGCTACCTGATTTGACTTCAAAGTAAAGATATTACATTACAAGTAAAAATCTTGGAAGCATCTTTCTTCCTTTCAGAGATCTAAATAGCAACATGTATAAGATCTATATGGTTTACGGTAAAAGTTTGCACACAAGCAGTGACTTATTAAAGGTAAAAGACTATGATATTATTAAAACTACCAGGATTTGACAATTCTCAGTGGGAAAAGGTTAGCATTTTTCTAAAAAGGTTTTGCTTTTAGCTTTGAGACATTTACATGCAACCAATATTAATTTCTGCTTCTTACACCCTTTTAGTTTGTATAAAATAAAATATAATTAAATGTAATAGGAATATTTTAGAAAACTACCTAAATCTTAATTTGCCATAGCTCTACAAAATAGCAAAGAAAGTGAATAATTATAGTGACATATACTGGTTTCAGTCTTTAAAAATATATGTATTTTCTCTTCTATATATATTCTTGTGTTGAATAAATTTATTGGTCAGTATCAGAGAATATTTATTATATATGAATATCCATGCTCAGTGCATGCTTTGTTCTCACTTCTGAAGCTTCTATAAACTATAATAATTTGCATTTTCTACCATGTAAAACAGAATTTTAGAAGTGTTTCAAAAGAAGTTTGTTAATAATGAGCTGATGTTTGGCTCAAGCCTTTTTAAAGTTTTTTTTTTAAAAAAAATCTATGTATATACTACTTGTCTGAGTTGTAGCTAGTTTACTACTAATGAATGTTTGACATTTGTTTTTATAATTTAGCCCTCTTTTGGGGGAATTCAAGACAATTTAATTGATATATTTATTCTTTTAATTAATTTATGGATAGTAAGTATTACTTTCATGACAATTTGATTCAACACTGTAGAAAAATAATCAAAGAGACCTGGACTCACCTTTCATGAATATATGTATGACCTAGGACTAGCACACTGTGAATGCAGAGAACGTCTCTTGGTTCACTGCAGTGAAAGAACTAAATAATTATTTTGCAGGAGCAAGGCAAACCATAATTTTCTGATTACTGGAGTAGAAATTAGAAAATTGTAAAAATGTTTTTTTGGGGTGTGTATGTGTGTGTGTGAGGTTACTGTTTCTCACCATGACAAAATTCACTTGAAAGAGGATTTCCCCTCATTTTTCCTACTGCCTGGATCCCTCTGCTATTTAGCTGTTTTCAGGTGTCTTTAGCAGGAAGGAAAGAAAACTCATCCTATTAGGAAATATGATTATCAACAAAATTAGCTTCTTATTGTAAAAAAGTGGCATGTACTTCCACAACTACACAGAAAATCAAATTATGATACTGACCAATGTATTGTTAATAAATGTTAATAAATCAATAAATACATTAATTGATTTTTTAAAAAATTGAACTAAATATAAAGCATTTTCTAGTACTACTACATTTCAATTTACTTTCCATAACTTATGCTGATGTTTTGTGTTGCATATTTCTTCTCAGCTCCTCCCCTCCAATCCTCGAACTCAATCTTTGATGCATGAGTTTTATGATACAAGAAATCCTATGGGAAAACCTGGCTCAGTCCTGACCCAATACTGGTCTCTTTTAAATATATTTGAACAATTTTGGCTCATGAATAAAAAGGCACAGATACATCCACTGGAATGGTAAGATAGCCACAAATTTGAATTGTACAATCCAAAAAAATCTCCAGTCTAAAGATTGATTTCAAAAGCCTTTGCCTTCATTAAAGAAAGCAACAAAAAGAAGTGTGTCCAAAAATTCACGCTCTGGAAAGTAAATGTCTTCAAAGCACTGAAACCATAATGACTCTAGTGGTCTTCAAACACTGTAACAAAAATATATCCAAAAGTTTTTCAAACCAACAAGACTTGAATCCACTATAAAGTCATGCTTAAAATTAAAAGTTTTAATCTAGTTTTGTGCCATGATATATATCCTTGTATTGCTGGAGAAGGAATTAAGTGAATGCTATTATCATCCTAGTGGCATCTGATGCAATGTAGAGGGTGTTTGGGAGGCGTGACTTCATTCTGGGCAAAACTTAGCGAACTTTATGTACATGTATTCTTGTTTTTATACTGTTTCACATGGTCATTTCCTACCTCCACTTCCATTCTAAAGGGAGGAAGTAATGAGAGAACGAGAGGGAAATGACACAAAAGAGACATGAAGGCCTCAGTTCTTGGCTAAGTGGGCGGCACCAAAAGTCCTGTCTGCTTTGCTTTTATAGGGAGTGAAGTAGGGAGTATTTGGCATTTCTATTGCCAGGAAAGCAGACTTAAACCTAAGCCTCCTAGGGAGATGAAAGACAAATAGACATGCTACACTCATTTATGTCTCCTGCACTTACCCTGGAGAGCAGCTTCAGTTCTATTGACTTATACTTTGTCTCCTTCTGCCTCTGAAGATAGTAAAAACAATTCTTTAACAAACTTTTATAATTAAAAAACACAAATAATCATAAATGTGAAGGTTTCTTAGAAAATATCCCAGGATCACCACACACTTTAATTGCCACAGGTTTATGAAGTTGGCCTGTTGCCTTAATGCCTGGAAGTCGGAACCTAGCAGAATCCTTGTTTGTATGTTTGAAAATTAAGTTTTAAATCATAGTGAAAAACCACTTTGTTTTTACTTTTCACTCACTTACATAATCCAAGACTGTCTCATTTATCATTATAGGTAGGAGAATAGACTTGATTTCCCAAGGAGCCTATTTAAGTATTGTTTTTAACTTTGAATAAGTTCCCTTGAGATACACAAGCTTTACACAGTTTGTTCCCCAGCAAGTTTTTCTCAGGTTCCACATATGTTGTAAGATGAAGCAATCCACTGATTTTAAATGCAAATGATTGGATTCCCTTCCAGTAAGGCAAATTACTAATAGTGTATTGAGCATAATTAGAAAGGATCACGACTTTGTGATTATTTGTGACTTACTGAAACCCTGTCTCAAAATTAAAAAAAATTAAAAATAGAAAACAGCTGGGGGTATTGCTTAGTGCAGAGGCTCTAGATTTAATCTTTAGTACCAAAATATAATTTCAACTTTAGAGTCTATTGATTATGACAGGTAAAATTCTGATCCTTCTGAGACTTGGTTTCCTCATTTATAAAATATGAGTTACATGACTTACCACATACGAGTATTATTTTAGGAGGAATACACAAAACAGTTTCTATGTGCCTTACACTGTGAGCACGCATAAGTGCAAATGTTAGTGCACTTTCCTTCTCATTTTTCTGTGCCATCCAAAGATTGCTTTTTCTTCTATAGTGAAAATAATTTTTGTCTTTGTTTTATAAAGAAAGCAAGACATGTTTGGAAGAGTTATCTGTGTTAACACTGAGATAAGTAAATTTTAGATGTTTATCAAAAAACAATTAATATATTACTCCTAGAAAAATTTGTAAATTGTACTAAATTTGAAGTATCTTTAAATTTATCTGAGACCATATGCACATTGAATAATCATTTATGCCTCACTCTAAAGAGATGAATGTATATTGTATTATTTCCCTGATCAGAAGTACTAAGAAAATGGTTATTTGCTCAAGTTGCACAGCTAATAAAAATAGACTTGAGAGTAAGATCCTGTTCCTTTCATCCACAGTCTAAGATACTTTTTTGCAGGGCATTATGCAGACAGGGAAATCACCACTTTCCTTATCTTTAAAATGTCACTTCCAGTGTTTTCTGCAGAGCAAGCCAGCTCTATATGCTTAATTTACTGTGAGGTCTAATGACTTTATCCTCCTATTAAATAAAGATAATTTACTTCCAGCAACAAGGTGAGGAAAGATAATGTCAGAAAAGTAAGAGCAGTAGGTAGTAGTAATGTATGTGCCCCAAGGCTCAAAATCCAGAATTCTCAGCGCAGTTAGTGTAAATCTGAATGGAATGAAAATATTAAAATCAATGTGCAGTGCCTGCTAATTTTCACTTTGTTGGAAATAAAGTTACACTTGTATCTTGCTCTAAGAAATTGCTTTTCATTTACCCAAGAAGTTACATGAGAAATCACGGCAAGATGCCTTTGTATGCAAAGTGTTTCATTCTAGTGAGATAGTAATGTTCCAAAATTTAGTGTATGTGCTCTTCATGGTTGTATCTTTTTCACATTTCACCTAGAGGTTGTGCATCAGTTCTGAGATTTTCAATTTGTAATTTGGCTTTGTCTGGATCAGACTTTAAATCTGTCTCACATTGTGCCTGCTTTATGTGTTTCTTGATATTTAGGAGGAAAAAACAATTTTAAAATAAGTCTTAACATCATTACTTTTTACTTCAAATTACTTTATTGTATGTATCAAATAAAGTAAAGACTTTTGGAAGTCAGTCGGCAATAAAATTGTCACACCTCAGATTAGCAAAGTATCTAATTCCTTATATCCTTGATTCTTCTTAATTTCCTATCTGATGGTTATATTTTAAGGAAAGTAGAATATGCCTTGTTTCTCTTTTCCCTGCTACAGTGCCCAGCACAATGTATAGGGAAATAATTACATATAAAATGTTATTCAGCACAAAGCATTTTATTTAATTCTCATAGCACCTTTGTGAAGTACAGCAAGTATTATCTCAATTTTGTTGGGGTGAAAATAAAGGCAAAGAGCACAGGAAAGTCGTGTTGGACCATTATGCCCTGTGTTCACATCATCAAAACCAGCAATGTTTTTACCTGCAATTTCACTTAGTTATCTCCCAAATTTAAGGATTTAAGGGCAATATTGGCCAACATCTATTTAGTCCTACAGCAGAGAAAATGAGACAAACATGACAAGATGTGATGAACCTTCACTGTTTCTCAGAGTTTAAGGACAGAAGCCCTAGTGACATTGGCCATTTATGGTGTGGCACACTTAGCTCTCACAGGTTCTGTGTATGTTCTCAGGGTGTGCCTCAGAGTTTCCAAGGTTTTTTGCTTAAACGCTCAGTAACTTTGGCCAAAGTTCCCAAGAAGAATGTGTGTTCTGAGTCACTTCTGTTGGACTCAAGCTGTCTATCTGAGGTCACTCAGCTCTGGACTGAAGAGTTACTCTTTGCCCCAGTTTCTTTCACCTGTGCTTCACTGATTAGAGATGATGAGATTTTCGTTGACCTCACTGGAAGTTAAGTTGCCAGTTTTCAGGAATTATATCCAGAACATGTTTCTTTGTCTTCATCAAAATACCTCTGCACAGGCAGAAAAAAAGATAGTGTGTTTGATATAATTTCTATGAATTTTGCTCATTTCATTAATGCAGGCTTGTTTTTTGCAGGAATTCTTCCATGGAGGATGGTGACATTGAAAAAACACAAGTGTCATTTGATGCAGTTGACAGTAAAAAAGGTAAAAGCATAGAGTCCCATTTGTTTCAACATCAGAGTAAGGATTTCCTGGCCAAAGACATGATAATGTTTGCCTTCATTAGCAATCAAAAGTGAAATTAGATAAAGAAATGCCATTTTCCTCCAAATCAGAGGTTTTCTTCTTGAAGATAATAGAGTTGGAAGAAGTATAAGGAAATAGGTATTCTCAAAATGCTATTAGCAATATAAACTAGCACAACATGAACTAAAAGGCCACTTAATAGCATATAAATTGTTCATATGAACCAGAAATTCTACTACTAGATATTCATTTCAAGGAAATAATTAGGAATGTATAAAAATGAAAATAAATAAATTGGTAATAAGCAAAAAAATATTAGAAGCTACCACTATTACCATAAGAGTAGATTGGATAAATATATGAAATTATATTCAGTGAAAATTTAAGCTCATTCCAACATGGAAAATATTTATGTCATGATAGACATTTAAATATATTGTTCAGTGTAGCAATTCCTATTAGCAATAGGAACCTCAAGCCAAATTAATAATACTGATTTCAATTTTTTCTCTTTTTTTTCTTTTTATTTTCTCTTCTAAAGAATATCTGAGATTTTGCCATAAAATGTTTGTAATCTTAAGAAAAAACTATTAGGCATTCTCACCCTTATGCTATGCTTTAAAAAATTAAAAGCTTTTCCTGTTATAAACCAGGAATGATAATAGCATCATCTGAAGGTTAGAGATCCAGAATCTTCTAAATCAGAATCTCAGGATTGCAACCAGTAATTTCTACTCTAACAAGCCTTTCAGATAAGTCTGAAGCATGGTGGAGTTTGGGGACCACTAAATGAGCAAAGAAGGAGGAATGGAGAAGAATTAATGGTGAATGGATGCTATGGCTGCCTTTCTCCTTCCTATCATTTTTATCGTAAATGAATTATTTTTTTTAATTTTAAAAATAAAAGGAGGAAAATATTAACAGACAGACAACCTTTTACAAAACAGCAAAAGAACAGTAAAGACAATACAGAGTTATAAACAAAGTGATAGGAAATTAACAACGCTTGTTGTATTACATATTGATATCTTCAAAGTAGTTTCTCATGAAAACAGAGACATGCAATATTGATCAATCAAGGACTTATTGACAGTTTCTTTCAGCAAAGAAATAGAAGACAGTAGAACAACTATGTTAACTATCCTGTATAT